TACTCTCCCTTATTTGTTTATAAACTTCTTTAAATAAAAACTTGAGTCTCTAGTAACCTAAAAAGACTCATGTATGCACTTCTTCTATTAAAGGTAAAAAGGTTCAAGAAAGTAAAAAGATTGATAAGTGAAATGGTACCTTTTTATTTTTCATCTTCTTACATACTATTTTGTATCCTCTTAAAGTGCTTACTGTTTTTCATGGTTTTTTTGAGAAATTTTGTCTATCTCAGTTTGACCCTGAATTTTTGATAGTATAATGTCACCTGACATCTAATTGGTTGACATGAAACATGTTAGTAACTGAATATAAACAAGCTCCTATTGATCACCTCATATGTTTTGATGACATTATTGGTGATAGAAAGAGAAATTAAGGATACGAACTCCTTTACTTCTTCAAATAAAGTTTAACTAAAGCAAAAAAATCATGAGGCCATTAGAATGGACCTAAATTTCTTAGATGGTGAAAAGGTAATTATTTGTTCAAGCTGAGGCCTTCAACTTCTTATCATTCTAGTAAGACAAAGTACACGAATGAGATTATTTTCTTATTCCAATCAGGCTATAATACCAAAAATCAGAGGAATATAAAATACTATCCTTCTCTAGGATTGAGATTGCATTTCCTCAGATGTTGTATAATGATATCACTATCAAGATGAACATCAGTAAAATTTCTTTAACTAGGTGTAGCTACTAGAAGATATCGGGTATTACTTAATAAGACTGAAAAGCTATATAAGAATCTGGGTCCATCGTTAGTTATCTTCTTTTATATGGGTAAATACAAAATCAAGACCAAAGAAAAGAAGCATTGAGCAAGACACTGAATCCGAGTAGATGATAAGTATCTCAGATGGTCACAAGAAAATAATCAAAAACACAGATAGATAAGTTCCTTAGATGGTTCGGAAGAAAATAGATATCCTAGAAAGGGTAACTCCTAATAAGAAGAGGTTTCTAGCAGAGGTTCTTTAGAGGACATGAAACATTTTAATTTTCTTTTTTTCTTTTCATTTTCATATAGTAATTTGCACATTTTTAGAGATTCACCTTTTCTTTTATTTTTTTTTTTCCCTTTTGTAGTTTCTCGAATTCAGTTCCTTAGAGGATAATAAGCAGTAACAACCTATTGGTAATGATGGGTAAGTTAGAAGGGTCTTTATTTAAAACTTGGTTCAAGATAAAATATTGTCCCCAAGATTGCACTTAGAGGCTAAAGCTCTTTTGAGAATTGAAAGCCATTAATGAGTATGTCAGTACAAATCTTTAGTTTAGCCATGATACAATTGCCCTATGTATCTCTATCAGTTTTAATATTGATTAATAAATACACAGTACTGGTCTGACCACAGGGTTTAAAAAAAAAAACTATTTTTACAATATTAAGTCAAAAATAATTTAAATTTATCAATTTTCTCTAATAATATATTTGCTTAAGTGAATACTTGAATCGGATCTATATTAATTATTTTATAATCACTTGTTAAATTAACTAAATTCTTAAATATAAGCTAATATATTCTTTATATAATTTTTTTTTTATTATTTTTATATTTATTAGTTTTCAAATATTGATTAACTGAAAACTTTTTTTCATGATTTATTACATAATTGTAAAAAATACAAAATAATTTTTTGTCTTCTATGTAAAAATTTTTTTGATAAAGGTTATATTTTCATTGATGTTCACTATTGATAATTATTTTTTTTTAATAGATAATCAGAAAAGATTACACTAATTGCATAAATTATATAATATGCTATAACTAATATGAGTAATTTCTTTTAAAGATAACAAAAATACTAGTTAAATTTTTTGAGATAAGAATTAAGGCCCGGGATTATTTGTTTCTATTTATATTATACTTTATTGCATCTATATAATCATATATAAACTACAATGGATAGTTAATATTTTAACTATTTATTGTATTGTAATTTAATAATATATTTATTATGTTGCACATATATCTATAGTATTGCAACGTTTTTGTATTGTCTGATCATATGATCGATAATCAAATCATTTATGAATTTGAATGAAACTATTATTAATACAACCTTTAAACATTATTTTCTTTAATTCAAAAAATTTTCTTTTTTTTTAATTATATCATGTTTTTTTTAAACTTGAGAAAAAACATTTCTGTATTACTTCATTCTTATTCTTATTTTTTACCTTTGAATTTTTATTCTCCTTTTCAAAAAAGTCTTGCTACTTCAATTTTACTTAATGTGGCTACTTATTTATTAGAAAATAATCTAACTCAACTATACGATTATTTTTTTAATCAATCCAATATTGAAAAAACATTTTTTTCAGATTCAAAACATGCAAAAACAATTAAACAAATCCTTAATAATCTTAAAATTATGCACACAAATTCTTCTACAAAATATAAATTTAGTCTTTTATCTTTAGTAGCTAGTTTATATAGTAGATCTAAATTAACAAATCTTGACTTTTATTTTAGTAATATACAATTTAATACCTCTCTAAAAAAAGCTAATGATCAATTCTTCTTTTTATCAAACTATTAAAGACAAATTTTTTCTTTCAAATTTGCTATTAATAAACAAACTATTGAACTTATTCTTAATTCTTTTATACAAAATTCTAATTTATTTACTATCACATGTCAATCTTTAAAACTTCCTTATTCTCTTGAAAATATTATTACTTCTTTTAATTCTACTTCTATTTATTATTTGGAAAAAACAAAAAAATACATTTATTCTGAATTAAAAACTCAAAATCCAACTTTAAAATTGAGCCTTGGTACATTTTATAAATATTGTTCAAAAAACTTCAAAAAAGTACAAAAAAAAGCAGATATGTGTCCAATGTGTGTTAAAGGAAAAAAAACAAAAAAAAATTTATTACAAATCAATCCCCTTAATATTTATTTAATTACTTAATTACAAGATCAAATTAATCTTTATCATCAACATCTTTACTTTAAAACAAATCAATATCAACTTTATCAAAATTCTATTAACTCTACAACAATAACTTCTTGTGTAATAGTTATGGATTTTAAGAAAAATATTAAAATTGGTGATGGCCCCCTTGAAACTGGCAGAAATTTTTATAAAAAAGCATAAATTTCACTTTTAGGATTTGTTATTTTTTATAAAGATAATAATGGTATAATTCAAACACAATATTTTGATTTTTTTTTCAAAATTTTATTCCATGATTCCTTATTTGTAATTGATTGTATCAATCAACTTCTTTCTAAACCCTTTATGTCACAATTTTAATAATTTTGCTTTTGGTCAGATTCTGGTCTCATTTTAGATCAGCTGAAATAATGCATTTTATTTTCAATCATTTATCAACTCTTTATAACAAAAGATTTTTTCTTAATTTTTTTACTAAATACTATAGAAAAAGTATTGTTGATGGATACTTTGGTGTACTATCAAGATGGTTTTCTGAAGGTGAATCTATTCAAAATATTCATATTCTTGAAGAATTAATTGATTTTTTTAAAAAAAAAATTCAATTCTCTTCTAATAATATTTTATTTGACACTTATTAATGAACCCAACCTTGAAATAATATTCACAAATTAACTATAGATAACTTTTTTTCATATTTATTATTTACAAAATTTAATGGTAAATTATATATTTCAACCCTTGATACATTTAATTATAAAGAGTTATAGAAATTCCCTTTAAGATAAAAATAGTAAAAGATACAAGAAAAACAAAATATGCATCATCCAGACAATCAACAAATACCACTCCAACAATAATGGATAGCAAAAATAGAGAAATGTTACTTATTAGAATAGAAAAAACACAATTTTCCTATTCCGATGGAAATATAATTTGTTAATAATATAAAATAAGACTCAACATATAGGAATAACTATATATGACTTTGGGGTTGACTATTCCTTCCCATGAAAGTTCTATTTAAGAATTATATTAAAAAATATTTATTATTGAAATAAAATTCATTCCGTGAAATATTAATGTCAATTTTCACAGTTTCGCGCAAATATCGTTACGCGACGATCATCTCGTGATATAGGTGCAAGTACGTACATTCGGCATTATATACGTATGCATACTTGTACAGTATATACAATATAAATTTTAGGGGCTATATCTTCAAAAAGAATTACCCAAATATGCGGTCGCATATAATATGCGAAGAAAGGGCCGCATATGCGCAGTGCTTATTTCTGGCCACCCTACTTCAAATGATAAATATTGCTTATTATGGTCATTGTTCAGTATAATTAATTTTCTTTCTTTTTACTAAATAACATTTTTATTGATTATATATAGTAATAATTTGAACTTAAATTATTAATAAAATTTTCAATTAATATACTCTATTAAATTCATATTATTATTTTTTTTTTTAAAAAAAAACAGTTAAATAAATTAATACTAAATTAAATCCACTGCCGAAATACTAATTTTTAATCCTAACTAAAATACTTAGTTTTTAAAAAAATGCGTAATTTTTATATCTATTAATTAATCAATGCTGAAGATAACTCTCGGAATAATGTCCAAACCCGTATACAGTAGATACAGCAAGTTAATAATTACCTTTCATGATTAACTGATAAATACAAATATTAAATTCAATGTATTTTGCAACTAACAAGAAATTTCTATTAGCCAAATCAATTTAAGAATTTTATCAATAAACCTTATGCCTTAAAAATTCTAATGCATGAATAAAAATAATTATTTTCTTCAAGGTGTTTTATTAAAATTTTACTAGTAGGAAATCCTGATACGATTTGATATTTATTAGTATATGTAAAGAAATTTGTTTTCTATAACTGATCTTTTCATACTGTTTTGAATTTATCACAAAAAAAAAAGTTCTATGTTCTTTTTAAATATCTTCCAAACGAGTTATAAAAAATTTATTTCAAATTTTTTTCAGAATATGAATATTTTATAAGGAATTTAAAAAAAACTTTCACTTAAAATTTCTACGTCCGTATCCGCGACCGCCGCTACGTCCACTTCCCTCATATCCGTTTCCATTCCGATTATTTCCGAATCGACTATTACCTCGGTTTCCATTTCTGTATCCACCTCCATATCCATTCCCACCATTAGTAGTTTCGTTGTTTATTCCACGGCTCCATATATTAGATTCTTGTAATTCCGGCAACTCTTTCGCAATCTCCAATGTTGCGTTTTTGGTATTTACCCATGGTTTCCCGGCTAGGATGATCTCTCCGTTGCTTCCAATTTCTAACTTGTCGCTGGAAATATCACATGCCACCCCTTGCATGTCTTTGGTCAATTTAAATGCTTTAACACTATCTTCTGATAGCTGCGGATAATGATTTTTGAAAATACTTCTTGCATAACTGCTATGTCTAATCGGATATGTGAATCGGAATAACAGTGTGGTATACCCTTCCACTGCCGACATTAACGAACGTTTCTTGATCCCCCCAGCGTAACCGCTCATGCATGCCAGGGCTGCGCTCAATGCCTCAACAGCCCCTTGCGATTCTATTAGATCTGTTGCTGTCTTATGGAAATATGACAACACAGTACTTTCAACCGATCCTATACTTTTAATGACATCATTTGCTGTGGCAGCTATTATGTCTTGCGGTTGTGGTGGACCCATCATTTGAAATACAATACCGGTACGTCGTTGAATGTTCATCAGAAGATTTTCTTCTTGTGGTTTGAAAAATGTCACAGCTGTGCCCTGTCGTCCTGCTCGAGCAGTCCTACCGGCTCGGTGAACATAAGATTCTATATCTTTTGGAGGTTCGCAATTGATTACTAAATCTGTAGTAACACAAGATTTAATTGGTAAGTTAACATTGCTCTGGAAATAATAATAAGATCCTTAGTGCTCACCAACTTGTGGAATATCAATTCCTCTGGCTAAGACATCTGTACATATGATGCATTTAAATTTTCCTTCTCGGAAACACTTCATAGTAACCTCCCTTTGCGGTTGAGCAATATCTCCATGTAATACTTGCGCGTCTTGTTTCAATTTATCATTGAGGGCAAGTTCTTGGATTTTACAAATCAGTTAATTGAGGCATGCATATAAAAAATGAGAATATCATAAATGACATACCATTTGCTTCGTTTTTAGTATTACAAAAAATAACACAAGACCCTATTCCAGCATAACACGTAATAACGTCACCAATAATATCTTTGCGGGAACTCCACGCTGAGCGAATGGCGTAATGCCTTATATTTTCTTATAAAGATGTAATAACATTCACATGTCAATCCAAGATAATCCGAAAGGCAATAATTTATGCATTTACCTACCATTTGTTTTTGTATCCGCGTTTACGATAAGATCTACATTTTCATAATCGGCCTTCAAATAACTCTTTATAGCTTGCCTAACCCAATCCGGTATTGTAGCAGAGAATAAAAGTGTCTGATAATCGATAACTCTATCTTGATTCTCTTTTTGCCGCTTTATATTTTGCAGCACTGTTTCCATGGCTTCAGCGAAACCGATATCTAACATCTGATCAGCTTCATCCAAGACTACGAACTTGATATCGGCTAATTTCAGGCTTCCACGTTCGATATGATCCAGCACTCGGCCTGGTGTGCCAACTAGTACGTCAATGCCCTCGCGCAAACCTTGATGTTGGAAATCATAAGTCACTCCGCCATAAATACACAAAACTTTTAAACTTGGCGCGATTGATTCAAATTCTGCTGAAACTTGTTTTGCAAGATCACGGGTGGGTGTCATCACAATGACTTTAGGCGGACGACCACGACCACGAAAGTATTTATCCTCTTTCTGCGCTTTTAAAAGGGCTTCGGTTATTGGCAGTGCGAACGCCAAGGTCTTGCCAGTTCCAGTCTATAATAGATTTTCGTATAGTCAGATAATTTTCCGGTTACAATATACAAGTGAAATGAACAAACCTTAGCTCTAGCCAAGACATCTTTCCCATCATAAATAAGATCGAAAGTAGATGCTTGAATAGGAAACAATGATACAACCCCACGCTTTTTCAGAGAATCTATTGTCCCTTGACTAAGCCGATAAGAAGTTAGTCTCAAATTCTCTGGAATTTCATCCATTTCTTTTTCATTTTCTCCCTTCATCATATCACTTGAATCACTGGAGTTTTTCGTGTTTTCCTCTTTGATCCCAAAAGAGTCTTTCTCAGTTTTTCTTTTCTTAACTTTCATGTCATCTACACTAGTATTGTCCTCGGCCTCTTCAGTTTCACTACCTTTCTTCCTTTTTGACTTTACTACCGAAGATTCCAATTTCAAATCTTTCTTTCTTTTATCTCTTCCTGGTAGCGAATTATTGTCCTCAGTTTTAACTTCATTTTCTACAATTTCAAGATCCTCATCAGCATATTTTTTCTTAATTTTACTCTTTTTAAGAATTTCTTCTTTTGCATATGTACCGCTTTCATTTTCATCATTTATTGCGGAATTCCGATGTGGTTTCTCCCTTTGATTTTTGCCATAATTTTTTTTATGCATTGCAACTGTAGCGCGTTTCGATTTTTTTTTTTTTTTTTTTTTTTTTTTGTAAAAAATTTACTCTGATATAGTAGATTATTGGCTAATCAAAAGAGCAAATTAATCTGGTTACACGACTATCGGTAGCACCACCAGTACGCGTTCTAATAAATTTGATATACAGTATGTATAAATTCATATCAGTTTACCAACAAGCGGTTCTATGTTTATATTAGAGAAAAGGTATTAGGTTTTCTAATCTATTTGAAGGAGCTAACATAGTAATTCTATCATCTCAATATTCAAGAAGGAAACATTTATATGGATCTGTTATACCTTACAAAAATTATAATAAAATATGTTTTATATACTCGGAGGAGGGATACTAATATTTGTATCTTTATCTTCTTTCAATTAATATTTATATACTGATTTATTGGTTATTTTAGTTATTTTTAAGAACTTTCAATTTAAATAATTTATTTTCATCTAAATAAAAAATTCAATTCATATTTCTTTAATAAAATTATTTTTTAATTAAGTTTTAATTTCATACAAGAGTTAATTGTTCATATTAATAGAAAAAAAAGAGTCTTTAAATTATTTACTTACTTGATTAATTTAATAAGAAAGTAAAAGTAAAAAGATTTTTTTTTAATATAATTAAAATAATATTTTTATTTTTAAAGATAAAAGAAATTTAATTTTTAAATAAGAGAAAAATAAATAGAATAGACATATAACTATATAAAATAATTTACTAGTATTACTTTCTTTTTTAAAAAACTTTTAAACTATTATAATAGAAAAGAAAAATATGTATTAAATCTATATTTTAAAATTTAAATAACTAAATATTTTTAAGTTATTTTTTAGATATAATTTTAATTAATAGTATTTAATTTATTATAATAATCTTTAAAATATTTATAATAAATTAAATTAATAATTATAATAAAAACAATATTTATTTTTATTTTTTTATTATTTTTTTTTTTATATACCTGTAACCAGGCTAGATTGTCAATTTATTAATCAATTAAAAACATCAGTACATTTTCATTCGAACAGTATAATACATACTACAGCTAAATTATTATCATAATCTAACTAACTCGTCGTAAGCATAATAGTCTTTAAGTTTGATCTTGGAGACAATATTTCGCTCTGCAGTGTCTTTGGGTAAAAACCCTCCTAGTCCACTACATCATTGTTAACAGGTTGTCACTGTCATATATCGAGTTAAGCCACTGGAATACAGAAAACTACAAAAGAATAGGATAAAGAAAAAGGTTAGGGGATATCTAAAAATATTTAAGTAGATAGCAAAAAAGTGAAAATATAAAAATTGAAAAAAAATATCTCCAGCTTTCTCTAAAGATCTGCTTCACAAGACCTCTTCTTAATAAGAAATACCTGATTGGGATATTTTTTCTTTTCCTGACCATCTGAAAAACTTATCTATTCTTGATAATGATTTCCTTCTCATGTACTGTCTAAAGAGACTTATCGTCTAGTGGG